GGGGCGGCGGGGGCGGGGCCTGCCGCGAGGGGCTGGCTCTGCACTCTGGGGCCACGTGTCCTTTGTGGCTCTGGACTCAGGGGCCAGAGCCGTGGCACCCTGTGGGACCCCCTTGTGCCCTGCCCTGAGCCTGGCAGGGTGGCAGCGCTGGCCTGCGGGCCGTGTCCTGCTTCCCGCCCGGGAGGGGGGCGATCTCGCCGTGCCTGTGCCTGCGTTGCCTATGTGATCTTTACCCTCCAACAGGAGACACTTCATATCTCAGAGCCTTTTGAGCTGTTAGCGGGAGCTAAGCCCCTGAGCCCCCTGCCAGGAGCAGCCTCCTTAGCTTCTCCTCCCTCCGCCCGCTCCTATCCCAAGACACAAGAGGTAACGACACTAACTGCATGTGCTTGCTCGCTTGCCACTTCTTGGGGCCCGTGCTGCTGCATGAGCCAGCTGCCTTGCTGAAGGCCTGCAAACAGCCTGGCAGCCAGGTTGGCCCCCAGATGCCTTAAACAGACTAACATGGCCTTTGGGCAGGACTTCAGGCCCGCAGGGAAGCATGTCGAAATGGCATGGCTAGGTTATTTCTCATTTAGCCTGAGCGCATTAACGCTCTGGAGCTGAGCTGGCTCCTCATTTCAAATGCTCTTGGAGCTTCATTCATCCCCCCAGCTCTCCTGAGCTGGCTCGGCATCCTGGCTCTTGCTGCTAGCGCCACGCTGCAGCCGGGAACTTTAACCCCAACGCCATGCTGCGTTGCAAAGAGACGTCTATGCGCTTCCCTTCTCCCAGCCACTTACCTGCTGGCTGGCGGCTTCTGGATAGCATCCCTGCAGATCCTGCTGTCCTGGCTTCCCCCCAAAAAAGAACTAGTCCCCGAGATGCATGGCAATCTTTGGGTCAGAAGCAGCGAGGAAATGGCTTCTGAGCTGGCTGGCAGGATGTTTAATTGTGAGTTTCTGCCACCATCTAAGCAGCATGAGTCCTTGGCAAACGTCTCCATTTGTGAGGGTTCCCAGCGGGTGCGAATGCTCCTGCAGCCCCGCAGAGCCCGGCTGGCAGCAGCAGGGTGCCCTGCCCAGCGTCTAGGGTCTGCAGGGGCCCTGGCGTCGCTGCGGGGACAGATCATGTGGAGCGGCAGCGCTGCCAGCTGTCCAGCTTCTGCCTGCCCTCCCCTGCTCTTGATTTTACTGGTGTCGGCGAGCGGTGGGTGCCCAGAGCTCTCCTGCCGCCAGGGCTACCCGTGGCGGCTGCGTCACGTTCGGTA